ACTGGTCGTTTTGACGGTTTCGACCGATTTTGCGGAGCTGTTAATAGTCGGATATCGACGACAACAGCCAAAGATGTCGCTCAACGCCTGCTTATTTGCCGCCGTGTCCGGTTTATTATCTACAAAGATGTAACCGTAAGGCCTCTCTGTTTCCTGATAATAAGCTGTCATGAATCGTTGGCGATTCTTATCAAACATACGCTCAGCAACAATTCCGATTTGTTTCCGATCGCTAGGACTTGGGAAAAGCGCCATGTATTGTGCATTCCGACTGATATCGGTGTTAAATTTTCCCTTGGGGAACATTTTCTGAAGGAGTAGTATGACGCTGGCATTTCTATGGCGACCTTGGGTAAACAACCGAGAAACGATGGGGCTTTCGATCGCTTCTGCCATTAGATCATCAAAGATAATAACGTTGTTGTAGTTTGGCTCAATTTCTCGCAGATCTTCTTGAAATGTGGGAGGGCCACGAAAAAATTTAATGTCCTTTCCGATCGCTGATTTCAAAGCTTCGTATCTATCTTGCCACTGACTGTAATACCATAAAATGCGACGGGGCTTGTTGGTTTCGTAGACAATACGATCTCTCGTTAGAATCTGTTCTACGAAAACTGTTTTCCCTGATTGACTTGGTCCAACCACAAGGAGTGAGAACTTATGGCGAAACATAAAATCTGGATAAGGCTCGGTTGCCAAGGAAACATCATGGGAAAGCTTTACCTTTTTCGCAGTAGAAGAAGTTTTCGGCGTTTCGTTGACTGGTCTTCTTCTTTTTCTTGGTTCACATATTTTTCTCGTGGAACTAGATGAACAACGAGGTAAGTCGACGCTTGTAGAAATATATTCTCTTTTTGATTCCCAAGAAACCTTAGCCTCTTTTAAGAGTCGTGTTCGTCTTAGCCCGGTTAAGTCATGGACAATTTCAAGATGAGAACTCAAGTTGGACACACCAGGTTTGCCACATAGCGGACAAATTCGAGGAAACGTTCGAGGCATGACTGCTTATGAAAAAATGACTCACAGTTAACAGAATCATTTAATATATAGTTATTTTACAATGGTGGGGAGTACTTAAGAGAATTCAGGGGTACAGGAGGGGTACAGGAAGGGTACAGGAAGGGTACAGTAGGGGTACAGGAGGGGTACAGGAGGGGTACAGGAGGGGTACAGGAGGGGTACAGGAGGGGTACAGTAGGGGTACAGGAGGGGTACAGGAGGGGTACAGGAGGGGTACAGGAGGGGTACAGTAGGGGTACAGGAGGGGTACAGGAGGGGTACAGGAGGGGTACAGGAGGGGTACAGGAAGGGTACAGGAGGGGTACAGGAAGGGTACAGGAGGGGTACAGTAGGGGTACAGGAGGGGTACAATGAAAGTTCATAGAGTTCCGTTGTGCTTTGCAGCCGTGCCTCCATCGATACCTATAAAAGAAGTAAGCCGCTGTTTCTGATTCAGTCAGTTCTTAAACCTCGTGCAGTTCGGATCACAATGTTCAGCAATTATAATCATTTCGTTCAAAAAGGATATGGAAATTTTGAAGATGATGACGACGATATTGAAAGCTCACAAGAAAGCGAACAATCATCTCAAAGTTCTCAATCTAGCGAACAAATGGACTCTTCCGGAGAGGAGGAGGAGGAGCATGTAGATCCTTGGTCACGCATTCAAAATGAAGTTTGTAATCGCCACGAAGCCCAGCTCGAAGCTCTGATCAACGAGTATGAACAAAACGGAGACTCGCCTGAAGTGGCCCGCATTAAAGCTGAAAATGCTTTGCTTCCAGTATATAGAAAGGAATTGAGAAAAGTGTTTTTAGAGTTTTTACAGTGGATGCATGCAATGAAGAAAGATCCGACATTCCGAAAAGTGATGGAAACCCGCCAAGATCTCAAAGACACAGAAGGATATGACTGGTTGGAATCGACAGAACTTGCCATCGATAAGCGGAAATTCTTACTCAATCGATTGTTTTGTCAAACAAACTGTTCCCGAAGACTAAGCCGGAACTCTGTCTATTCATCTATTGTTGTAACACTTTGATGGTTTTGTTATCAATAAATGTATTTTTTAACCGAAACAAAGGTGTAGTCTGGTTGTAGCACGCGCGTATTAATCCCACCATTGTATATATATAATTGAGTTGATTCCCGTGGATAATTTATGCGACAAGCGTTCATGTTGGCTCAGTGTATATTAAATTAGTTTGCGATGAATAATAAAATAAAGTTCGCTTGCGTTCGTTTTGTTTCGTATGATACAGGTCTAAAAGGAAAAAGGCCAACCTGTTAATGGTTAACGCTCGATACCACAGTCTAGAAACGTTTGAAGGTTGAATTATATTGACAAAACAGAATCAATGGTTTTGTAGAATAAAAATATTTATCTCTGGTCACAGTGAATAGTTTTAAGTCGAGTACTGTTTTCGGACCGTTGACTAGTATGTTTGGAAGCTATGCGCTCAAAAATATTATTTACTGGAGTTTGTGACAATAATAAAATGCTGAACAGAGAGCGCGCTTTAATTTGGAAGATAGAATAGATTCTACAATCAGCGTTAAAAGAGCCCGGGCAAGTCTAGGCAAGCCTATTGTTCCTATTGTAATATTCAAAACAACTATGACATCATAGTACCCCGGAATACATATGACATCATCTTCCGAAAATAACTAAAACCTGTCAAACCGGTTATACCAACCATGACCGCCACAAAATAAAAATAGCACATGACCTTATCTTTATGAGGTTCCTGCGCATTTTATTCATGAGATCAAGACAATAGCCTATGACGTCATCGGCGTTAATGTATTCCTGCTCACGCTAATGAGATTCCTGCTCAAAAAACGGCCTAACCGGTGCGCCCTATACTACTCTAAGTTAAGAGTTTCTCATTTCGTGTGTTCGTGAGTAAATAAGGTTTTTGAGAATGGGACATCATGTCTCCTGACTTGATGTCCCTTGGAAAATACTTATCTTTTAATGGACACTTTTAGTAATTTACGAAGGAAACTTGCGTTTTAAGGCTAGTGTTTGTTGACAAAGTTTTCCGTTTTTAAGGTATTGATTAATTAAAGGTAGGAAGTTTTGTCCCATCTATTTATCTTGTTTCCACATGTATGAATATGGGAGTTGTCCTTTGTTTACCATTAACGAAGCTTGTATCTTTGAGTTTTACCTTTAAAATGTCCAAACAACTTTAAAGTAGCTGTGTAAAAGTGTGTTTCTTTTACTGAACTTTACTTAGTTAGTTTTCCTTAGTAGTTATCCTGCTCCAGAACTGAAGAAAAGCTTTTCAAAGAAATTTTACGAATTAATCGAATGCTAATTAGAACGTAAATGTATCCTACGCATTATTATTAATGTAAACATGTTATGGACAACCAAACAAATAAATAGAGAGCTGTTGAAAAGTAAGCTTTTAGAAGAAGGTGTAAGCAGTTATAGAAAAAGAGTAAGCAAGAGAACTGCCAAGGAGAAGGTTAACTTGAAGAAGGACTCTGCTAAGGAAGTTGAAGAATTGTAAAGTGAAAGAGTAAGTCACTCAGAAAAAAAATATATAACCTAGTACTTATTTGGTTGTGAGAGTCACTGCCGCGCCTCTGGAGTAACCCCCGTATCAGTAGAATAGCAAAAACTTTCAATGGCGTGAGTGTTGTATAGTGTACTGGTCTTGTGCTTTTGACCTCGGCTGTGATAGTCATATGGGACTATAAGATCTACTTAAGGGTTCCGGGTTCTTCGGGTTGTTTTTGAAACATAGTCAAAACACTATCTATTGCCAGCGGTTGACACACCTTTGCTTGATGACATCACAATTCAAGGCTTTCAAAAGCGACAAGATCTGTTATAAAAGCTCTTCTCTTGTGTAAGTGTAATGATTTTGAATTTGTAGCCGTGCAGTTGGAGTCCAAGTTTGTGTGTGGTACTTGATGAAAAAATAACGAGCCAACAACTTCTTTCTGGAAATTTCTATTGAAATGATTTCCATCATTACAAGGGTGAGGCTATTAAGTTTAACCCAAACCCTAAATTTAATTCGGCTTATATTATTCATTGAAGCAAAAGTAGGTGGCACCTAATTTTCAAGATATAAACTAGTACAGCCACCGGACGTTTTAACTATGAAATGACGTCAAAAATTTTTGTTAACGTGTTCTTATCGGTGACTCTTTGTTATGCTAATCCATGGCTAACACTTGGCATTTGGTGTTAAGACGGAATCCAACGGGAAATTGAGTAAGTTTCATTTTCAGTGGAAAAAACCTTGTACCAGAATAATTTAAACAATATCGCATTCTCTTTTTACATTTTTCAAGGGCTATAGATGTAATTAGTTATCTGTAATAACACCAAAGAAAATTTCTTACGAGAGCCTGAGAGTGAAAAATGTCAAAATGACATCTTACACACGAAATTTCAGAATTTTACCTCTGTTTTCACAATTCTTGTGAAATTTGACATTTATTTTCTCGGGCTCTCATGACAAATAGTCTTTGGTGTTATTACAGATAACTAATTATATAGCCCTTGAAAAATTTAAAAAAGAATACCATACTGTTTAAATTATTCTGGTACAAGGTTTTTGTCCCCTGAAAATTGAAATTACTCAATTTCCTGATGGATTCCGTGTTAAAAGTGACAAGATCTGTTTAATAAGCTCTCAGTTAAGTGTAATGATTTTAAATTTGTAGGCGTGCAGTTAATAAACGTGGATGTGATCCAAGTTTGTGTGTGGCACTTGATGAAAAAATAAGGAGGCAACACCTTCTTTCTCGAAATTTCCATTGAAAACGATTTCCATCATTACCAGGGTGAAGCTATTGAGTTTAACCCAAACCCTTAATTTAATTCAGCTTATATTATTCACTGAAGCAAAAGTGTCAATTTGGCTTTCTAGGAGACTGCCCACCTACCCCTCCCCTAAGCCAACAGTATCACTTACTTCTCACTTAGGGCAAAATGTTGGCTTAGGGGAAGGGTAGGTGGGCAGTTTCCCAGAAACCTAAATTGATCCGCAAAAACAGGTGCCACCTAATTTTCAATATAAACTGGTAAAGCCACCGGGCGTTTTAACTACGAAATGACGTCAAAAATTTTTGTTAACGTGTTCTTCTCGGTGAATCTTTGTTATGCTAATCCATAGCTAACTTTGCATTTGGTGTTTAAAAACAACCCACTTTTCCCACCACTCAATTTCCTTAAACAATGTCTTTTTATGCTAAACTTTTGCATGCTTTAAGTTACAGTGAAACTTCTATTAAACGGACACCTTCGGGACATTCCTCTTAATAGAGGGTGTCCGTTTAATAGAGGTTTGTAAAAATTGCGCAATGTTTGTAAACGATTAACCTTCAACGGTTACTCTGTAGTGTGATAAAGTTCCATGTTGTTAAGGAAACTATCCAGAGTTCAAGTTCATTACCTTTCATTACCAACTTTAATTTGTTTGTAAATGCAAAAACATTAACCTACTACAGTACGTATTTCGAGGACGTAATCCAATGCTACTATTGTCAATTCAGTCCGGTGTCCGCTTAACAGAGGTTTTTAACTATAGAAATTAGCCAAATACAATTTATTTTAGTGTCCGCGTCCGCTTAATAGAGGTGTCCGCTGAATAAGGGTTCGTTATAAAGAAAAATATAAGAGATTAATTTCGGGTTAGTTAAAAAAAATCGTATATAGTTCTTTTCACCTGTTTAAAGTTTTGCCGAAATGTGTAATTTTGACGGAAGTCTATTGGCCTTCAGTTTAATACTCATTTCCGTCTGATTTTATATGCAAATGTACTCGCTACCGGTAAATTTGTCAAATTACTGCAAATAGGATTGAATACTATGGTCTCCTTGGGTATAGCTAATGCCCCTAGGGCTGTCCCCATAGAATATAGCAGGGGCGGAGATTATGCGAAGTCATTAAAAGCGATTGTCATACATAATAGTAATAAATTCCCACTGGGAGCCCTCACTCCCAAACGTCCCAGGCAAGGATAAGATATGGG